GTGTTCAATCACTTTTCCTCCATTTTGAGCATGTACATTATGTCTCTCTCTCTCTCTCTCTCTCTCTTAATTTTGATGCATGTAGAACTCTCTTGATTTCCATTTTGGTAATTTTTTTAGTGGATTGAACTGTTTCCAAATTTGTAGGATTCTCCTTCTGCTGCATCTAGGGCTGCTATTGAACATCAAGTTGCAACACCTTCAAGGGTAAATGTTATGCTTTATGCTGTGAACTACAAACACATGATAGCACATGATAGCTATGCTACTTTGCAAAGCCTGGATAATGAAGCATTTTTTATGCATGTTTTTTCTGTTTGATGGCCAATTTGGCATTCAAGTTGCATTGATCATATAATTAAGGATGCATGGTCACTGTCAGATGGGTGAGGAATATAGTTGGGTTTATATGTTCAGTGACTGCTGTTAATGAGGTTCTTGAGAATTCTTGGGTATTGTGTTTTTTTTTTTTAAAAAAAAACAAACAAACAAACATCTGCCATCTACTCTGTAAGTTTGTTTTGGTTGACAAGATCATCTCTGTTAACGGGTTCAGACTTCTATTCTACTACTGTTTTGAAACAGCTCCCTAGTTTTCTTATTTGAATTGTGATGTTATTAGGTGTTTCTGGGTTAGGATTTTGGAAGATGTTGAATCTTGGAGGTCTTTCATTGAAAATTTGGTTTCCAGTGTTTAAAATTTTGAAGCATGTTAACTGAATTTATACAATGGTGAATTGAAAATTTAGAATGGGGCAATCCATCATTCATTTGATCCTTAGTTACTGCTGTGTAAGTTCTGTGGTATACTCTCAATTTCTTGTTGACTGCTTTAATTTTGCAGTCTGTGTCCCTGCCTCTTACCTTGGAGCCTTCCTCTCCTTCAACTTCTTGTGGATCTAATGAGGTGTGCTTTTATCTCCTACTTAATTCTGATTAATACACAACTTCCCGAAATTTTTGCCTTTCCCATGTTGATTTATTTTATTTTTGGTGCTTATTATGTCTTTGTAAATGTATTGGTTTTCTGGCACACTAATTTGATCTCAGTAATTTTCATTCTGCTAATGGATCCCGTAAGGTTTGTAGTTTGTAATATGTGCTCATCACATGCTGGCTTTTTAGTTTAATACTTTGTGAACTTGGGTCATTTTTTACAAGGCTCTACAAAATCAATAGTCATCAGGGCCATTAGTCTTTATTTGATCTAGTGAGTTCAATGGCACTTCTGAGTGCAACCAATGCTATAACGCCTGAGAGAATGTTATGTACATAATATAAACAAACATTTAAATTGAATAGAGGGTAAAAAAATAAAAAAAAAAGAGTCCAGTGCTGTCTTTTCTTCCTTGTTTCCAATGGATTGAGAGACCACATCATATAGGGCCCAATGGATTAACATCCAGTGATGTCTTTTCTTAAGATATCTTGGCTACAATTTTTGGGAATAACATGCCCAGCACAAAGGCTTTTGCTAGGGAGAATTTTACACGTCTATTGAATAGTTTGTTTTCTGCTGATACGTCTTTTCCATTCCAGGCTAATGGAGACCCAAGTAATGCTTCCTCAACTTCAGGCTTGACGGTAAGCTATTCGTTTTCATTTTCACTTCTATTTTTATTTCATGCTTTCAACCACAACCAACATAGCCAACACTTTCAGGAGTGTCAAAAGAATTCAGGAGCAGTAAAGAACAATGCCAGTCCTAGGGTTTCCCCCAGGTGCAATATAACAGAAATCACAGAAAAGCCTTCCAGTCCTGAGTTGCCTGCGACACAGCCCAATGTCAAAAGCGCTGGCTTGCTTTCAAGAACAATTAGCGCGACAAGAAATTTCAGATTCATGTAGATTGCTACAATTGCTTAATTTAAGTAACAAAAGGTTATACAAGATATAGATCCCTTTGTAAGCTGTCTAGAAAGGTTTTTTGAATTTAACATCATATCAATAGCCACATTCCTTATTGGCAAGGAATGGCCAGTAAGATATATGAAGGTCTTTCTGGTTGCTAAATTTTGTAGAGAAGCAGACGAGTTTAGATATAAGATCATTCTTGTTCATGTACAGTTACAATATTGAATGTTTGGAGACCTCAAGTCCTCAAGTGAACTACATCATAATAAAAAAAAACAATGAGCGTTTCTCTCATGTTTTTCACCCCTTCCTTGGAGGTAAGCAATTTCTTTCTTTGTGTGAGGTATTTTGATTTGTAACCTCTCGCCGGCTGCTGCCCTGCTGCTGCGCCATATCTGCTGCGGAGTAGTATTTCTGCAGGGAATTTGATGATACCTTGTTTCTCCTGCTTGTATTGTCTTATAAACTCTTATAAGACTCTTTGTTTGAATGTGTACTTCATGAGTATTAATTTTTGCTTATAATCTATCTATTTTATACAATATTTGTTTTTTAATCTGAAATGTTGCTCCATATTAAATATGAAAATAGTTGTAAATTTTTTAATTAAGACTAGACTTGAGAGTAGCTACTCGGTAATTTGTTTTGAATAAACGTATGAATTACAGTATAGTTAAGATTTTAGAAAAGCCTGTCAGTGCTCAATAGTGGTCTCATTGACAAGTCCAATTTGGGTGAGTTTAGTCATGGAGATCACATTGAAGCCTTAAAATTGGATGAAAATCTGAAATGTCTACAATGGCTACTTAATGTAAGTTTGGTGATACTTTGATGCATTTGCTGACTGCTGTAATTGTTATGTGCCTACAATGACTCTTTGATGTATTTGCAACAATACTGTATTTGATATATATAGTAGGCAAAAGCTAACGTCCCTAGGGCGTTGGATAAGCTAATTAAAAGTAGAAATATTAAATTAAAATGAACACAAATTACACCAATCAACCCATGACTTTTGCATGCATTTTCAAATTGATACTATTTTAGGAAATATTTTAAATACTTATCTAATGCTCCGGGGGCGTTCGTTAGCAAGATCCTAACTAATTCACTAATGGTCTGTTTGGTAGGGTGTAAAATATTTTCAATGTAAAATGGTTTTCCATGAAAATCATTTTACAATGGAAAACTCATTTTCAAAAAAGTTTTCCGTTGTTTGGTTGAATGGAAAATGATTTTCCATTTTAAGCATTTTCCATTGTTTGGTTGAACTGAAAATTCAATTGTGAGGGAAAATTGTTTTCCCTCCACTTGTGATGGAAAATGTTTTCCTTCTAAATTGGGGGGAAAATGTTTTCATTTTCCACCCCTAGTTTTACATTTTAATGTTTTACACCAAACCAAACAATGTAAAATGGGAAAACACTTTTCATTGAAAATGTTTTACGCCCTACCAAACGGAGCTTTAATACATACTATATTGAAAGTATTAAATAGGGGTGTATATTGAAATAATTAAATAGGGGGGAAAAGGAGCACAACTTTAGTCGGTAAAACAAATACAATTAATTTAAACTAACATTCATGCAAAAGTTTCAATTAAATTATTATAAACCAACAATCAAACTTTAAAATGAACACAATGAAAATAATTGGGTAATAATTTCTTAAACGGCATGAATTTGTATATTAATTATTAAATCACAGATAGATCAGAGTAATTTTTTTATTTTTTATCTTATGAAAGGACGTTGTAATTAATGCCTATTATTTCTTATGGTACTTTTTATATGAAGCCTTCTACATATAACAATTTTAATGATACGCTTAAACTGACATTCAAGCAAAAATTTCAATTAGCTTAAACTAACATTCTTGCAAAAATTTCAATTAAAATGTTAAAAATCAATTAATTTGAATCAACAATCAATCAAACTTTTATATGAACATAATGAACTTTTTATAATTGGTATATTAATTTGTTAAATCAGTATAAATATGGCTATCTATTATAAAAACATGATTTTTTTTATTATATTTTTTTTTTATTTGAAAACTTATGAAAACATGAATAAGTTGGTGTAACTAATGCTTATTAATTCTTTTTTTGAAAAAAACTTATATAAAGCCCTTTGCTTGTAACAATTTTTATTTTAATGAATATAAATAAGTAGTTCATGAAATTTATATGAAGTAGTATACCTATGTTCATGTTCATGATGTTCATTAAACAATCTTCAAAACAATGATTGGTCATTTATTAGAATAAATGAACCAAACTTTAACCTTAGCCTAATCGGTTAATCGAAAATCTTAACTCATTTACACCTATAATGTACAAGGAAAGTTAAATAAAAAGAGATTTTGTCAAAAACCACCTTTTAAATCATTGTTCTTGTGAAAAATCACTTTTTAAAAAAAAAAGTTGTAAAAAACCACCCAATATAAAATTTATGTTGTAATTCACCACTTATTGCAGGAAATTGAGCTTCGACTTTCAACAATTTAATGGCCATTTGTTTTGTAGTTGGCAGCAAATTACAACAAAAATTTTAACTAGGTGGTTTTATACAATATTTTTTTAAAAAAAAGATAGCTTTAAATTATTCAAATAAAATATCATGTCAAATACTCGATTTAGTAACGGCCTAACGAGTAGGGGTGAACACGGTGTGGTTTGAGTACCAAACCAAACCAAACCGCAAAATACGGTTTGGTCAATTTTTCAAATCATAGTAGTATCCAAACCAAATCGTAATAATATGGTTTGGTGCGGTTTATAATGAGAAGACATTTTTAAATAATATTTTATCAATTTATAATAAAATTTAAATAATTAGCCCAAACGGATTAAATTGTATTACAAATTTACAATAAAAATAACAATCAAGTGCTAACACATAATAAAAATAACAATTAATTGATCATCATAATACATTATTATACATATACCCTATGTTGTATTATGATTTTATTATTATTAATTTATATTTTAAATTTTTTTAATATATAATAATTTTTTTAATTTATTTAAAAATTATATAAACATTAAAATACGGTTTACTGGTTTACGGTTTGGTTTGGTTTATAATTTTTGAAAAACCAAGCAAAACTGTAAACTGTATTTACAAAAAATCCTAAACCAAACCGTATTTTTATAAACCGAAAACCAAACCAAACCACTAAAATGAAGTTTGGCCCGATTTGATTACGGTTCAGACTAAACTGCGTACAACCCTACTAACGAGTATCCGGTACCCTAACCGTATCGACTAATCGAGATACTCATATACCCAAATCCGGTTCGGGTCCCATAGTCTTTTCCTCAACCCTCATCCCTAGAAAGCGGAAACCAAAACTTTCCCGCTATTTTTACCCTTTTCCAATCTCTTGAGACGACTCTTGGCGCCAAACTCCATTTACCATTTTCTTCTCCACCACACTACGCAGCACACACCAGTAGAGAGAGAAAGTTAGAGAGAGAAAGAGTAGGAAAACCATGGAAATCATGAGACCTCAGAAGAAAACTTCCACCGACGACGTCGCCGTCGTTTCCACCATCCCTCTCTACCGCACTCCTCCTGTACTCGAAGTTCGCCTTGAAGATTTCGAACTCTTCGCCATTGATCGTCTCCGAGGTTTCTCTCCTAGTCTTCCTGTGGATTCTTCGTTTCAGAACTTCAATTTTACTATAATTTCGGAAAATTAGGGTTTCTACAACGTGTTGCTTATTGTTTTTTTTTTGTTTTTGGGTTGTGTAATGATAGTGCTGAAAGGAATTTCCGACGAACTTTATCGCGGAAAAAAGCCTGATGAAATTGAAGAGCCGGTAAACATTTTGCTAATTGTAGATAGTTAATGTAATTGAATTCTTATTAAATTTGTTGCATCTTCAATTTTCTTTGATTATTACTTCCATATCTGTTTTAGGTTTAAGTTCAGGCTGATTTGATTAATTAATTTGACAAATTAGGTGAAGAATTTGTTGAAAACACACATGGGACATCCACAAGCTTCCGAGACAATTAACAAGGACATCATCTCTCACTTTGTAATCCGTCTAGTCTATTGTAGATCGTAATAATTCTCTTACATGCTTGTATATCCTCTATTATTTGGGTTTTTTTTTTTTTTTTTTTACTATTGTTTATTTTGTATTGTTGTCATTTGTTGTGTTATTTTGCTTTAGCTAATAATTTTTCTCCAAACAATTGGTTAATTCTAGGGAGGAATTAAGAAAGTGGTTCTTGTCAATGGAAACAACTCTATTTCGTTACCGATATAAGCTTGCGAGCTTCGATGATCAGGTATATATAATAGTATTTTGCAGTTTAAGCTTTTAACCGTATTCAATAAATATCAGCTTCACAGCAATATAATTTCAAATTCATTTGTATGTAGAAAGCGATACTAGCGGAGTTTGATCTTCCCTACAAAGCAGTTAGCAATGCAGAACTCGAGGTGATTAATGTTTATTTAGTCTTATTTTGAAAACGGCTATGTAATCTTTAACTATATGTGAGTGATTATTGTAAGATATTAGTGCTGATTTTTTTACTGTAATGTAATATTAGAGTATGAAGGAGAAGCTAACACAAGTTGCACGATCCCTTGGGCAGCCTTTGACCAGCGGTATGAATTTATTAAGTTTTAGATGCATTTTGATGTTATTTTATGAAAGTCTTTTTAATGATTGAATCTATTAACTATGTATTAAAGGTCGTTCGTCTCACCTATTTTACAGGAAGTTTTTTATGAGATGATGTTTTCCTCTTTTCTCCATTTGACTCTATTTTATAGTTGCATGTTTATGCTGCAATGCAATCTTATTGTTGTTACTTCGTTTGTTTTGCAGCCGATACCGTATTTTACAAGGTAAGCTCAATGCTCTTGTATTGTATTATCTTCCTTCTTCTAAAAGCAAGTTTTCCTAGCAAAGAATCATTTCTAAATACCTTTTCTACTGATGGAGATGTAATATTGGCATGGGTTGAAAGAAATACAGCTCAGAACATTGTTCTCCTGGTTGTGCTACATTCATCTTTTTGACTTTTTTCTGTTGCTTGTTGAACACGAGAAATTGACTGATGCTCAGAATACTAAGTGCTGTTCTATGTAGCATTTCCCGTGTTTTTTGCTAACTACATATGCTAAATCAAGGTACCATTTGAAGAAGTTCCTGAACTTGTGGCTGGACGCAGAGTGTACATCCATAAAGGGCATGCCTATGTTGCTATGAATCAGGTGAGATAGTGGTGATTAGCTGGCTTATTTATTTATTACTGTTTTTAGTGGTCTTAATTCATGTACTATAGTTGAGCTGATCCATATCTGTCTTTTAGGTTGTTTCTCTTGTTGTCACACAATTTCGCAGCAATCTATCAAAAGACCTTATACTTGCAAATAGGTTAGTTGGTTGATTCTTGTCTTTGAACTCTTCTTTAACGTTGTTCTAATAGCCAGATTTAGGAGGGAAAATATTAAACTTTTTTGCTATACTTTTCTTGTTTCAGTCTGAATTTTATGGTTTGTTGATATAATATATAGCACATAAATGTTAGCTGTAACTTGTTTTACTTGCCTACTTGGTGATCTAATCTTGAAACCCAAATGTTGGATTTCAATCAAGGAAGTCTTCAAGTCATTACCTACTAATTGATTGGAAAATTTTAATGGTAAAAACTATAAGCGACCCTTAACAAAATGCCCTTCATGCTTGGGAACAATGTCCATTGGTACTGTTTAAGTCTTTCTACCCTTAAATTATGTCTAAAGTGGAACAAGACGTTTTTCTAGCTGGCAGCGTCCTTGGTACAACATTTTGTAAAAGCAGAATTAAATAAAGTGCATCTATCTGACGGTGAGTAAATAGGTGATTCACGTTTTCTTGGGCATTATGGGCTGCAACACTCCTGCATTGAACTCATGTACTTAGGACTCGTAAAGTCGTATACATACTGTGTCCACAAGAACATCACGAGTCAAAGTGAACTCACTACAAGTTTAGAGTGGATAGAGATTGATCTTGTGGAATTGAGACCAGCCGCAAGCTGTACATCTAAAACTCCACAATTAGTGTAGGTCTTAGGTTTCAGGTTTCAGGCTCATTTATTTTAGGAAATGAAAAGCATGTGTTTGTTCTGCAATTATGTATTTAGGAAATTTGTCTTTCTAGACTGGAAACTTAGACATCTATATGAGTTTTGTCTCTCTTCATGTTTTTAGTTTTTTTTTGTTTTTTTTTTGTGAGTGGGAAGTTTCAGTATTTTCTCAGAATCTGATCTCAATAAGAAAAGAGTTGCAACACTGAATTTGCTCCTTAATTCCTGTGATTTTACTACAGAAAATGGACCTCTATGATCAGCGAAAAGGAGAAGAATAGGTTGACTCCGGTAAGTAGCAGAGCATGTGCTAAAGAATCTTGAGTTTGTCAGTTATTGATCTTTGTGCTTATTGTCTTGGCAGATTGTTGAATCTCTCAGCACAAGCTACCTTGGTCCTGACTATTCTGAGGTATAATCTCTTTTACTAAAGTTGCACAACTGTAGCTTCTTGAAATCAAAATTTGAGTGTCTTGTCGCTTGTGCAGGCAAAGAAGTTTGCAGAGATATCACTGAAAGACATTGATCAAGTAGCAAATAGTTCATTTCCCCTCTGCATGCGCCACCTATTTGAAAAGGTCGAAAATTATACTGTCTAATCAGCTAGTTACTTATATTGTACAAAATTATTCTCTAATTGTCATTTTCATCAGATATTACACTGCTCTCTTGTTTGACAATATTCACTTATGTTTTGGCCAGCTAAGGGAAGACCATCACCTTAAGTATGGAGGCAGGATGCAATTAGGTCTATTTCTCAAGGTATGCATTTTCTGAAATAAACCTCTTTTACATTTTCCCAACCTTTTCTTGTTGAAGATCATGAAATCAAATGTCATTCTCTCAGAACCCTTTCTGCACCTAAAATTAATGTTACTTTTTTGCATAAAGCATTCTGTCCTATACTCCTATAGGTCTTGTGCTTTGGTGATGTAACATCTTTACTTGCACTTAAAAATGAGTTAAGATTTCCCAACTGAGGGATGTTTTAATTATGGTTACTTATGCTTGTACTAGTGTTGTTTATAGTTGACAAAGGTTTTTTTTACTTGCACTTAATGTATCAACAAATTTGTTTGGAATTTTCCGTTTATCATGTGATTTTGGTAAGACACATCAAGTATTTATTTTCTTTGCTGCAGGGTGTAGGATTAACGTTGGATGATGCTCTTGTCTTTTGGAAATCTGAGTTCTCCAAGAAGGTAATGGCTTCAATATCAACAACTGATTCCTGAAACTTTGGGTAGCAGATGTAGGATTGCTGTGCTATGAATCTTTTTGAGTAGGTTGCATTTCTGTATGATAAGTGTTGCTGTTTGATCTGTCTTTGCTAGGTTGGTGCTGAGAGATTTGACAAAGAGTATGCTTACAGCATTCGCCACAGCTATGGAAAAGAAGGCAAGAGAGTGGTAAGCTATCTATATGCACCTTTTCCCTAAAGAGAGGAATGATTCTCATTTACAATTTCATCATCATTGAGTTCTTGGATGTTGTGTTTTCAGGATTATACACCTTACTCTTGTCAGAAGGTCATCTCAAGCACTCCTGGTGTTGGAGATCACCATGGTTGTCCTTATCGGCATTTCAGGTAAGGTCACTTAGTAATAAAATATTGATTGACTTAGTTATGTCTAAACAGTCACCTTTTGTAGAGATTAGACTCATCACTCAGGTTTCTATTCTGTTAGTTATGGGAATCTTTTCATTACTTATGGGAAGCTATTTTGACATTTTTTTTTTTTTTTTTTTATTTAAAACCATCAAATTTATAATATGTGAAAGCTGGTATTCACCATTTCTTAATTCATCTGAAATATTCTATCCTTAGTTTAAAAGTCTGTATTCTGCCATAGGGACTTGTTTCTTGCAGTTGTAAACATTAATGCAAGGTTCATGATAATTGCAGTAGGGTTACTTGTTTACCATATCATGTGGCAGAGGCTTTGCTTTTGACATGTAATTTAGCCTTTATATGATGTGTTATTTACTTTGGCAGCGAGGACAACCTTAGAGCCGCACTTAGTAAAATGGGAGTGAGTAGTCGGGCAATGACTGATGTTATGGACAAAGTCCAAAACAAACACTACCAGGTAAGGGATAGTGCATTAACTGTTGATTCCATCAGGCACCTGGGGTTGTTAATCATCTGAAAATGGTAATGCGTGCACAGATAGCTTGCACCTTAACATTTGAAGCTATTCACGGTTCGTCCTGTGATGCTGGAATCAACCATCCAAACCAGTACTTCAGTGAAAGCCAAAAGATTTTGCAATCAAAGGTATGCCATTATTTTTTCTGATAATTTTATTCTGCAAATTTGAAAACCTTATCATATTATTTGCTTCCGATATAAGCCTAGAAATGATTTCTAGGAATTTCGAATCTCATACATGAAACATGACTGTTGATCCATATCTAGCCATAGCTGATATTGGGTTGAAATCCCCAAATGCAGCTATTTGTCTTTATGCCTGAATTTTCATTTTTAAAAAGCTTAAATTATGTAAATAGTGAAATATATATGCAAAATAATTTCTTATCTATGTTGATAATAATAAAGCAATTAAAAGAATAATTCAGCATATGATAAAGTCGAGCTTAGAGAACATGTGTATAGCAAGATATACCTCATAAGGCCAAACCTTTATTACTAGGTCACGTTAGCTTGGTGAGAACTTGGCAATTATATTTAGATATCATTGAAGTTTAATCCTATTTGTAAAATTTGGTGCAATGTATCCGTACAAGATTGCAATATTTGCTTAACAGGAAACAGAATAAGGGAGAGAATCTAGCCTGCTATGTAATGAGAAGTAAAGACCTACATGTTAGCATCTCACTACTGATAGCATGGCTTGGGACTCAGTATTTATCTAAAATATAGAATATATACAGTGACTTTTATTCATTAATTGAAGTGAAGTTTCTTGTGGTGTGGTTTGAATCCAGTCAATCCACTTATACCTTTATCATTGAGGCTTTGAAGGTTGGTTAGTTGCTTTTTTTGTCCTTATTATAAATTCTTTTTGGAAAATGGTTGAATAATTAAGTATGTTCAGATCCCACGGAAACAAAATTTTTGTCTTCATTTGCTTTTTCGGCATTGATGATTGATTATAGGTGCATTTGCATTTCTTTTTATGCAGAACAATTCTTCTGTATGAAGATCCTTATATTTAGGGCTTTGGCGTCAAGATTGACCTTTGTTATTGCTTTTTCCTTCAGGTATGAGTATGACTGTATTGTGTTGTGTGGGGTTTTGGCCTAATAGTTTCCAATGAACAACTTAATATTGAAAACTGTTAAAATGCATATTACTTTGGAAGTTTTGTTTTACCTGGTAGACTGAAACTATACTTTTAAGTTACAGGTTTCTTTTGTTCCTGTGGCACTATCATGTTGTGTTATGTCAGTGAGGATATATAAGTCGGTCAATTGGTTAAAAGTTAAAACCTGCAAATTGTTCTATTTGGGTATCTGTAAAATTTACAGTGCGTCTGTTTCAATCTGTGGAGTCCCATATTATTTTTTTAAGAGCAAGTCAGCTATCACCATCTAGTGAATGAGCTGGGGCTCAAGAGAGAATTACTTTATTTATTTATATATAAATTTTTATTCTGATTATTGTCCTTCCAGGCAATTTAATCTCAGGATTCTCAACAAATAAGGGTCAAGTCCTGGATACCAGTACAGATAATGGATATTAGGGAAATCTAAAAACGAAGTTTTAAGAGTAAATATAGGAGTCGTCAAATATGGGCTAATGGATAACCTTATCTTGAGGCAATATCTCCTTGGTAGACTGACCATGTCAAACTGCATTGCAAATCTTGCAAATGGATACTGTCTGTGAATAAAGCAACAGGCATGGAACACTCTGTGGTCTAGGTGTATAGATCATAAAACTTCCAAATATGAGAATATCTTTTGAATTGAGAGTTGGACCTATTGAGATGGTAAACAATTCATTTTGGGTGACAAAATTAGCAAGCCAGATTAAGGTCTATAGAGAAGCTAATGAAGAAGTATCCAAAAATTTGAATGTGTGCTGTTGATAGTGCTGTTAAGATCCGTGAACTTTTAATTGGCGTAGAGATGGTTGATACATTGAGTGTGTTAGAAGATGATTCTGTAAAGGAGTCCTTTGGAGTATTTCAAAGCCACAAGAATTTGGTGAGGACTAAGGCAAAAGGGGCGCTAGAGCCTAGGTGCAAAGCACATGCATAAGACGTAATGTGCCTCTTTGTGCCCACAGTGCACTTCAACGAAAACGCTTTGCCCAGGCTTGCGCTTGGGCAGCAGCTAGGCGCACTTTACTAATAGTGCTATGGAGACCTCCAAAAATGACGCGTGGTTAGTTGATAGTAGATGCAGTAATCACATGACAAACTCTTTATGCATCAGTGAGAACTGAGAAGGCGTATAAAGATGGGCAATGGTGTTTATGTTAAATTAGGTATCGCAGGCATCCTTGTCATTAAATCTTGGAAGGCACAAGGTGATGTTCTATGTGTGCCGGAGCATGATAAGAACATGTTGGGTGTTTCCTGATGATATAGAATCACATATCCCTGATCTATGGCATTATCAAGCCCATTGTACTCATAAAGCCAATGTATCTGTCACAAGGTTGGGCCGTAGGAATGCCTTAGTCTTCTGCATTTTGTCCAACATTTGGAAGATCTTATGGCCTAATGTGAGCAAAAGAAAAAGTTTTTTGGAGCCTTATGCAAGATGGGCAAATCTTTACCGTTGGTAGTACTGTAGTAATAATAGCACTTCCAAATAGAATACAACTACTAGCTCTCAATCATGATTGTTCTCCGTTTTGCATTGAATGTCTTATTATCTAAGTCTTTTTCATGGCCATTATTAATTTCTCAATGCCCTTGGAAAGTATTCATAGGCTTTGTACAGAACTATTCTCCAAGCATGTTTATTGGGAGTAATGGAGCACAGGGGTGTGGTTGGCTAGCTTTCAACGTAGCTACAATTCTTAGTTTTAGGATCTAAATTAAATTTTAAAAATTATTTTCTATGATTTTTTTTTTTTTGATGTATTTTTCTTTAGAGGATCAATTCCTATATTTAGTATTAGTGCCTTACTTTTTGGCTCATCAGAACTTCAGAAGTCCTGATTTATAGGTTGTTTCTATAGAAACAGCCTGTTTGCTCTCCCTTCCCTCTGTTGTTTGCTTATGTCTGTGTTACTGTATTATGTGGCTTTTGGCATTAATTTAGGGCACTGTTTGGATGGTGGAGAACCCGTGCATTTAACACACACAGAGGGTAAAATTTTAATCTATTTTGGTTTTATAATATTACAATCGTGACCATGATTACCAGTACCTAAGGTTGGATCAGGTTCAGATATATAATATTATTCATTCAAAATTCGTATAAAACAAATCAAATCACGTTTTTTTGTAAATCAAATCACGTTGTTTTGTGTGTATACTTTGTGTTTCTTACGGCCTCGTGAAACTTTCTGCTCCATGTGTTACTACCTCTCTGAAATTGTAGAACTGATTGTTATAAAACCCTGATGCCTTTCAAATATTAAAACTTGAGTTGGAAAAAAGGTTGGGGGGATTAGAATTTAGAAATAATGTATGGATAAAATCGTGGATGATATAGTTGAACTGAAAGTACTAGTTTATAGATTAAGCTTTATTCTAGTTACTGCTTTCATAACTTTGAACTGTTGAATCGCCTTTTCAGGTGAGCATATTGGTCTGCTGGAATCATGCTTTTCGACGTGGTCCTGACGACATCTTCTGTCTTGTATTTTTGGTAAGTTTACGTGTGCGAAGCAAGGGAAATGCCTTCACTGAGTTATGTACTTAATATAGTTTATCGAAGGATTATAATATGCAAAAGGCAATGAGAATGACGGCACTTAATCAGTGCCTTTAGGATGTAAAATATTAGTATCAGTTATAATTATATACCAACTTTAATGTCCATAATCATCTTTTCCATTTGTTTTATGTGAATTTTGAAAGTTCCCCTAAGACTGGAGGAATTTTTTTTGCTTTCTTTTTTTCATTTTTATATAATTAGTTCCATGCTCTACAAACACGACTACAGAAGGATGCAAACAGTGCTGCATTGCCCCTTCGTCAACATGTAAGTTGTTGATTCGCTTATTGTCTAACTAATGCTGTTTTTTTTATACAAGTAATTCCTTTTCTGTATGATCCTGTATTTAAGCTGCTGCAGCTCAGTTTTCGTATCACTTTGCGAACCTTTATTTTGAGACTTCATGTGCATTACATTATGTGATATGGCCTTTTAAGTTCCATTTTTTTTAACCAGCATGCGGGCAAAAAGTTTGGTAAATATTTAAATAAAGTTGCCTCTTATGAAATTAAAAGGACAGCTTCAGAATCAGAAGTAAAATTCTGAGCTGAATGCATTTTGTGACTTTCAACCATGAACTGAACACACTATACATTTATTAATAGTATAGTTCTGAGCTGAATAAGTGTAGGAGTAACTGGAAATAATATAAGTGGTTTTGGTTTATTATTATTATTAGTGTTAGTGTTAGTATAAGTATTAGTATTTAGTATTTAGTATTTGTATTTTGTATTTGTAGTCAGCATGGCATATTCGTTGAGCGTGGGACAATAAAACGTCGTTGATTTATTTACAATTTTGCCGCAAATCAAGTAGATAATCTTGTATTTTCTCTATAAAAAGTATACTAATTTATATAATTACCCTTCTATCCTTCAAATTCCATATTTTTCTTTTCTTATTCGCTTTTTAATACCGTGTGCTAAAAGCGAATAATACTTTAATTTGAGATGGATAGAGTATTTGAAAAGTGTCACATTTAAATTAAATCTAAAATGTGAAGAGAAATTATTTAGTTAGGATTGAAGCTATATCCATGATCATGGATACCAACAAAATGTGGCTTATTTAGTGAGTTTCTTAGCTCAAATCTTAAAAGTTTGGGGTTTGGATTTTATTAAGTGAGGGTGCTTTGTGGTAGGGATTTCCTTACCCTTTTCTCTATCCTCAAGTGCTTGGCCCACAAATACTAGACTAAAAAAATCATGAGGGTTTGAGGTTTGATTAGGTTTTTTGGGAAATTGATTTTGGCATACCCTTAATTGATTTTGGAACACCCTTATGTGAGAAGAGCATAGAAAACTGTGCTCTCACATTGAGGTGTGCCAAAATCAATTTTGGTGTGCCAAAATTATTTCCCGGTTTTTTGTTACAAAAACAAAATAATAAAATAAAAAAATAAATAAAAATAATCCATGATCATTGAATAAATCATGTCTTCATCATTTGTCATTTGTGAACTTTTGCATCTTTTCTTCAAATGTGAGTTCATACCTTACCCTTTACGCTGAAACATCTTAACACCACCAAAAACCTATATACGTCTCTTAGTAAAGGAGGTTAGAACTAGGGTGTTGCTAAGAAGCTATTGTCAATAAATTGATCTTCGCTCCCTCCACATACCCAGGGCTAATGAGGTTTATCGAATAGGTAGCCTTGTTGTGCTTAGCTTTGATACAACTTGTTAGGATTTGGCCTAGGAAGATATAAGGCGGTGAGGTAAACTCTGCTACCATTAAGGCATTAACTCAAGTGATATTCCATCCCTAAAAGTATTGACAGTATGAGGAATAATCTACTTTCTTTTTTTTTTTTTTTTTTTTTTTTCTTTGAAGGAGGAATAATCTACTTATTAGGTTATAAATTGGAATATGCTATATATAAGGAAGTATATTTAATGTTTATTTGTAATCATAAGGGCTACTTATAGCATTACCCGTATAAATAAACTAGTCATTAAATTTATTTGACACGTGGGATACTATCAAATTTATCTCACAACTACAAATTTATTTCTTCAAAATAAAGAAATGAAAGAAAATAGAATACTCTAACAAGACTGCATAACAGTTGGCTATCAAAATGAGCATACTCGTAATAGTTTTCTTAGATATACAAACATTGTACAAGGTAACATTTTTATTCTCATTTATTCAATTCAGATACTTTCTTTACATTAAAACAATTTTTATCATGTATAGATAAATAAATTTTGAATAAATGAATATGCGTTGATATTTGACTGTCCAAGTTTTCCGTACTTGGCTGGTTTATTTGCCGTTTTAGTTTTGGTTCAATGTGAGTGGAAAAGAAGAGGGGTTTGTGGGTTGGTGTGAAAGCATAAAAGTATTGATTCATACAATGTATGTACCATTATTAAGGGTGAAATTTGCAAATTAGGATGTTGACAAGATGCTTGACTTGGTTGTTTTCACCGTCGCGACCATCGCGCCTAAATACTAAGGTGGTAAAATCCGACATATTTAAGAAAATGGAATTTTATTCAAAGTCCAACCGTCCTAGTTTTAGCGAGGCTTACTAATTTAGGTATTTGGTCTCCACAATGTGCCTAAATATTGTGTGGTTGGTTTAGAAGATTTCTATGGCTTAACTTAGGACTGTCAAACGAGTCGTATCGTGTCGGGTTTGTGTTTGTGTCAATATTAAATGGGTTGATAAACCCTTAATCCAAACCTAACCCATTTATTAAACGAGTTGAAAAACCTTGACCCAAACCTAACACGCTTATTAAATGGGTTATCCTGGTAATCTTTTACCCACTTACTTTATTAATTCATGCAAGACGTTATATAGTTTATACATAATAAACTAATTAATTTTCATATTCAAAATTAAATAAGACATTTTATTTTAAATTTTTTTTAAGAATGAATAGAAGGTCTGGGTGAAGGAAAAGTTGTGTAATAATTGAGGGTGGGTGACTTACGGTAAGTCTAGAACTCTAGACTATAGAAGACTTTAAAGTGAAAGAGTAGTAAATTTTGTCCGCCTAAACTAAAAATTTTGCCCGCTAAAAGTTTTTACTGATATATTCTACCCAATTATGTAGTTAGGAGGGTTAGTAAGATTGACATTAAAAAATTCAATTATTTTGACTACTTCAATAGACAAGTTAAGTATGTCAGATTCACATTAACGGGGTGACGTTCAACCTATTAATATAATCGGGTTATGCGTATAGGTTTCGAGTTGAAAATTTCAACCCAAACCTAACCCGTTTAAATTTCGTGTCGGGTTTGTGTCGACCCAATTATTAAACGGGTTGAGAATTCTTGACCCAAACAAGCTTATTTCGTGTTGGGTTATCGTGTCGTTTCAACTTTTGACAGCTCTAGCTTTACTGCTTTGAGTGGATGATCTAAAAAATGTGCTCTCTTGCTCTTTTGCCTTTTTTTTAAGCAATATAATTATTAATACTATGTGTATAATACAAGTACTATGTTTTTTTTTCTTCAAAAACCTATCCCACTTATTTATCCTTTTTTTTCGGATTTTTCTAAATAAACAGAGTACAATATAAGTATGTATTTAAGGTATTTTATTGGTTTTATTAGAAATCTTTTTAATCGAACTGTTTGGATAAAACTTCTACTTATACAATATACTACATATGTATTTCTAGGTTTTAAAGTTTACACACTTTGGGAAAATCATGTATCTCTAGTTTGATTGTTTTTATCGTATACAAATATATAATATTTGTTTATGTTTTTAAATTAATTCAAGTATTTATAAAGACATCCTCTCAAGAGCGTAAGTTTATTATGTGATTATTGTTTGGGTCACATTTGGAGCTTGTTCCAAAATCACGAGAATGATCAAGTAGTTTTTGTTGTTTTTCAAGCATGTTTTTTTTTTGACAAGCATTTTTCAAGCATGTTTGGTTTTGATTTGTATGACAATTGATGACAAACGAATGGTCTACGAAAAGCCACGAGAATAAGCCGAACAACATAGAGAATTTCTAGGTTTTTACGTGTAAAGCACAATAAAACTGCTACTCTTAGATCCCAATTCATGCAGCCAGTCATTAGGCAAGGCAAATTGTGAGGATTTGAATGATGGGTGGCCTAAAGATGATAACGAAGAAACATAAAAGTGTGAAGATAGTAACAATTGAAAAGACGGGGCATTCAATTATTTTAATTCATTGAGCTCACACTTTTGAGTGAGGTAAGGCCAGCTAGAAATACAATGGGGTTGGGAACTTGGGACCCATTTAAATAAGGGGTTGTTAAACAACGCTCTCATTTTACAAGGTACCGCTCGTATTTTAATACGAACTTTCGTATTTACTCCTTGTAAATAAACACTCACGACACTCATTTCTCATTCTGAAGTCACAAATTTACAACTCTCTCGTAACTTCACTCTCATTTCATCTCTCTAAAATTTAAAAAAAAAAACAAAATTAAGTAAAATCATAAAAATAAAAAAATAATAAAAAAAAAAAAAGCCACAACATTGATCACAACAACAATAAAAATACTAATATTAATTTCTCAATTAATCGCAAAATTAATAATAATCATAATAAAAATTATAATAATAATAATAATGCAAAGATTACAATAATAAATTTGATTAATTAATCAATTCACAAAAAAAAAAAAAAAAAAATTACATCTGCCCAATAAATTCCCTGATCCGCTTAAAATTTCCGGACCCTAATTATTTAGGCGGATGTTTTATTTCAAAATTTTTTTAAAAAAAGTACGACAACTTACAGAATCCTCTGACGAAGCCTTCGATGTCTGAACTTTGTTGTTGTCGTCATCCATCGTCCTAAACCCGTCGCTAACGCTTAATACCATTTTTTTTTAACCTCGGATTTTTGGTGGTAGATCAAATGTGGTGGGGTCAGATGTGCTGGTGTCGGGAATTTTTTTTACCACGTGGTAGTAAGTGGAGGGGTCGGTAATGATATAATACTATTATATATTTATGTACTACAACTTACACAAATGGCAATATCGTCCTTCCATGTCAAAAAAGGAGCGATGTCCTGTAAAATGGGAGCGTTGTTTAGCAGTTCACTTAAATAATGAGTTGCAAATTCCATTTCAAAATACCAAGTAGCTCATCCATGTTCAAAGAAATTTTTTATACTTCCTCCGTATTTTAATAAGTGTTATACTTCTTTTTTTGGTCAAAAATTACATTTTAATATCATATTTCTCTTGTCTCCACTCAAACCTACTAGTATTTTTTTTATTATTTCTTTCTTCACACATTCATTACTTTTCAATAAATTATTAACCTCATTATTTTTCTTTTACAATTTTTTAATACTCCAACTACCCCACTTACCTCTTATTTTATATAAGTCAATTAAATTACTTAAAATTATGTGTCGGTCAAAGTGTAACACTTATTAAAATACGGAGTGAGTATCCCTCCGTCTTTATTTTTTTGCCCTATGGTCAAAATTTGGGTCAAAGTTTGAAAAC